GGGCGGGGCCTGGCGGAGGCGGGGCTACTCGGAGGCGGGGCCGGCGGGCCGGCGGTCTCCAGCCCCAAAGCCCCGAAGTCCTGGGCTGGCAGGACCGCGCCTGGGCAAGGTCTTAGAAGTTGCGGCTCTGAACCTGCGGTCATGGGACTGAGGCCGGGCTCAGGCTAAAGGTGGTTCGGGGGAGGCCCAGGAGTAACCCATACAGCAAAGACAGAGGAAAGGGAGTGAGCCACAAGCACAGGAGAGTCAGGCCGTAGAAACCACCAGTGTGCAAAAGACCCCAGGGCTAGTCCAAGGGGCCCCTTCAGCCTACAAACTCCACCCTAAACTGGCCCCTTAACCCCCTACCTAGACCAGGGCTGCGCCTTTGAACCGGTTCCCTGCGTCCTCTCCAGCATCGAAATCAGTGGCTCTGGTTTCTCCACTTAATTCCTGGCAGCTGGAGTGAGCCTCCTAAAATGCAAACCTGATCTAGCCTCTCCAGAACTTAAAACCTCTGCCCTCTCCCTCAGGAGAGATTTTTACAGGATTCTGCCAGATCACCACCCCACCCTCAGCCAAAGAAAACTTGCTAGCCTCCCTGCCTTTGCTTGGGCCATAACCTGGGCCAGGAACAAGTCTCCGCCCTCCCACCTATTTCCTGTTCATCCATTGGGTCCACTGCCCACAATCTATTGATTTATGTATTTCCCCCTTTGAACTATGGGCATGCTGAAATCCAAGTGGCCCCTGAATTCACCACAGTATCCCAAGGCCCAGAATTCAACTTGAATTGTCTACCAGGTGCTTAAACACCTAGAAGCTTAGAAAGGAGTTTCCACTTTAAGTTACCATTTACCAAGTACCTTCCACATCCAGCTTCCTAGGAGTACTAAGAGCAAGGTAAAATGAAATATGAGACAAGAACCTGGGGAGACTTTGCTGAACCCCAGTGTCCTAACCCCTGCTTATGCCTCAGACCCCTCTTCCAGAAACTTGGACATCTGGGGACAGTCTTGTCAGCTGATGCAAACTTCAGAAAGAAGACTGACATTTTAAGTGCTAGAAACGTCCACAATAATTAATTCAGGGCTTCCCCGACCTCCATCCCTCATAAAATAATTCATATGGACATCCAGTCTTCATTGCTGGAGCTAGTATTTAAGAGTGCAGGCTCCAAAGTCAGACTTCCTGAAGTTTGATTCCCAGCTCCATCACTTAGTAATTGTGGGATCTTAGGCAAATTATTTAACTTCTCTGTGCCTGTTTTCTCATCTGTAAAAATAAAATTTATCAAAAACTTAGATAGCTTTTACTATGTACCAGCCACTGTTCTGTATGCTTTACAAACTTTAATTCATTTAATCCTAACAACCCTATGAGGTAGTATTAGTATTATCCTCTTTTGGCAGATGGGGAAACTGAGACACAAGTATCCCCCAGGTCACAATGCTGCTAAATGCAAAGCAAGGATTCAAACCTGGACTGTGTAATTCTAGAGTCTATGCTCTTCATCACTACACTGGTACCTACTTTGTAGGGTGATTGTAGAATTAAATAAACTAAAATGTGTAAAACCACTGAAAACAATCCCTGGTACATGATAAGTACTATATTATTGTTGTTGCTGTTCTTCATCTCTACACTGGTATCTACCTTGTAGGGTGATTGTGGGATTAAATAAGTGTACACCACTCAAAACAATCTCAGATACGTAGTAAATACCACACTATTGTTGCTCTTGTGGTGGTGGTAATGATGAAAAAATCCCAAACCCCTCCCACGAAACACCGAGTAGTAACTCACCAAGTAGTAACTCGCAGAGAAAGGAGAACTCAGGTTTATTAAGTGCGGTCCCAGAGGTGCGGTCCCAGAGGTGCGGTCTCAGAGGAGCTACGAAAGCTCTGAAGATCTGGGCAGTGGGCTCACTTGCAACATTGCTTATATACCAGAATTTTTACACAAGCTAACTGGTCAGTTGGCACTCAAACCGTTACAGATGGTGGGAGTTGCTATGGAGACTACAAGTAGTAACATTGGTAAGGCCGGGAGTCCTCACAGGTTGCTGACAGATACAAACTGTTACAGAAAGCAGGAGCCACTAGGGGTACAAATAGTACAGTTACATTTGTTGAGCAAAAGGCAAGTAGGACAAGATGCAAAAGAGCTCTGCAGTGAGCTCTTGCAGCAAGCACGTTTACAAAAGCAGAACAGCAAAGCCGATTAGCTTTTAATGAAAACTCTGAAATTTTCTCATTCCCTTTTTTTGATGCCTGTTTAGATTTTTCATAGGGCATCAACCTTATGATCTTCCCCTTGATCTCCCAATGTAAGGGACAAGTAATTCCATTGTGTAAAGATCTTTGCTGTAGTCTTTCTTTCCACTATAGTCTCTATAAGGGAGGTGGTTGATCAGACAAGAGGCAATAGGCAAGGCAGAAGGAGGCAGGTACTGAGGAGGAGGAGGAGGAGAGGTAGCCACTGAGGAGGAGTACTACTCCAACTAAGGTTTTAAAGCCTCGGAAGGTAGAGAACCAACTTCCAAAGAGGCTATCAGGGCTCCATCCATGCCATACTTACATGGGCACATGTGCCAGTTTGGTCATATGCGTGACAAGGTCCTCAACTGCCTGGCCCTGGTCATCTATCTGTATACAACAGTTGGTGAGATTGAATTTCCCACATACGCCTCCTTCTGCTGCCAACCTGTTCTGGTAGATGGCATTTGTCATCTGATCTGTTGATGTGCAAGGAGAGTCAGGGCTCTCCCAGTCTCGTTAGTAATGATTTCTAAAACTGCCTACAGTCAGATAATTCGGTTTAACCTGTAAATGGGGGTACGCTATCCCCATGATCCATCTTTTGCCCAAGTGGCAGGCCCATAGTATTGGATTATTTGTTCTGAGGGTCACTCATCATCCTTCCAGTCCCCTATTTGGAGTTCTCTTTTTACCCTTTGCAGGGGTTGTGGGACCGGGTGATCGAGTTGTACCCCTGTTTTCGGAGATAAGAGGAAAAAGGATGGTTTTATCATGCCTATTACACAGCTTCCTTCCCCATTAGTGGGGAGGTGGATATAGGCTGTGCTTCCACAAATCCAGTAAAGTCCATGTGGGCTGTCCAGTCTCGGGACCAGCTTGGGTTATGCCAGGCTTTAGCTAGCCCTGGGAATCTGGCCAACGGATTTGTCTCGTTTCCCAGCGACACGCTTCGTCTGGAGGTGGCATTATAATATCGTTGACCTGAGCAAATTAAGTTTCCAACTGAGTGAGATTTTCTCCACCTCTGGCCAGGCAGTATTGTCCAATAATAGTATGTTCTAAAAACCATTGACCATCATTTGAGGTATGTGGGGCCGTTATATCTGGCATTGCCTGGTTGGGAACCAATTCTGTGGCTTCCCATGGCCATCTATCTCCCACTAGAGTTCCCCCACATACATAGCAGGAAGTGACATTCAGGGAGCGAGCTACTCCTTCAGCCATTCTGAGAAATAAGTTTTTGACTGATTGTGACGATGGGACTAGGGGTTCAGTTACTTCCTTTTAGAAGGACTTATGAACTGATAGATTTGGGCTGAATGGGCTAGTACTCGACCTTTAATATGAATACGAGTTTGAACATAGGGATTCAACCCCGTCCCATCAATGCCAAGTGTTAGTGCTTCTCCAGAACTCCAGCGGGGGGTCAAGGGGTTGGTTACGATTAACTCTAATGGACTGCACATATGTGTGGTGCAGCTTGATAAGGCTACCCCTTTCCTTAAATACACCTCTTTCCTGGTGGTGGTGTCTTTCTACCAAGAAGCTCATAGGACACATGACCAATAGGCACAACTTGTTCCACATGAGGAACTGTGGGGACATATGTACTTTTCTTCTGTCCTGTAACTTTCTTCCCAGCTGAGAGATCCACAGGATCTCCCTTCCTCCCTTTGACCCTGACTCATAGCAACATAATCATCAAACTTTAGGATTACCTGACTGTTATCTTCTTTCGTTCTAGTCTGGGCCAACATGGGTCCGTCTGCCCATCCTCCCCGAGGTCCCTCAGAGCTACCATTATTTTGAAAACTATTTCAGTGAGAGAGTTATTTGAGTTGTAACATAAGATTACTTCCCGGGTCACATATTGAATACTGAGTCTGGTTATAGGTACAGGTCCCTTTCTGAGTTCCCTGACATTCATAATAATTAGAGAAAATTAAGGTAGTCTTACCTCTTTCAGTGACATGAATATATGACTCGCAGTCCTCTGCCCTAATTTCCTTCCCTCCCCAGTGTCCAATAATAAGGAGTCCCACGATGAAATTCCTCAAGTTTCGGCCGTGCGTTGACCAGCCAACTTCCGGTTTGTGGCTGCAACAGGGCATGACGATCTCAGTGGACTTCTGCTGCCTCCAGATCAAAACTCGGAGCAGGTGGTCAGGAAGAGGCTCTGTAGTCCAAGTCTCCCGGCTTTCCAGAGGGGCTGCTCTCTTTACCCGGGTGTGGTGGATCCACGGGGTGATATTTGCAACTTTAATAGCAGTGGGAGTTGCTAATATAACAGTGCGAAGGCCTGTCCAGCTCGGCTGGAGTGGCTCCTTTTTCCAATCTTTAACCCTTACTTCATCCCCTGGCTGAAAGGGGTGGACCCAATTCCTCAAGGGGGAGAGGCTCTCTCTAAAGTTTCTTGAGTGACGCTGCGGAGGATTTTCCCTGAAGGTGCTATGACATTACTAAGTCAGCTATTAACCTAAGGTCTCCTTTTATCTTCCCTACCAGTGGGGGAGGTCTCCCATAAAGAATTTCGAAAGGGGAGTAGCCCGAAGGCCTTGGGGTCCATCACGTTCGGAGTAGAACTAGAGACAGAATATCTATCCAAGGTAGCTGGGTTTCCTGACAAAGCTTAGCTAGAGTGGTTTTTAGGGTCCGGATCATACGTTTGACTTTCCCTGAACTTTGTGGTCTATAGGCCGTGTGGAGCTTCCATTTAATTCCTAGAGCTTTGGACAAGGTCTGGACTATCTCAGATACAAAGTCAGGTTCCTTGTCTGATCCTATGGAGAGGGGCAGTCTGTATCTTGGAACAATATCCCTCAACAAGGCCCTGGCTACTTCTTGTGCCCGTTCAGTGCACACAGGAAAGGCTTCAACCCATCTGGAGTAGGTGTAAACCAACACAAGCAAGTATCAGTGGCTTGACTTCAGTAAAGTCCACTTCTAGGTCTTCGAAAGGCATAGTTCCAATTGTTTACACTCCTGGATTAAGCCTTGGCCTTTGTCTAGCATAATTTCATGCACAAGTCACACACCTAGCACTGATCTGGGCGCATAAGGTTGGGAGTTTGGATATGAAATAGTAGCAGCCTAACAGGTTTTCGAAAGAAGTCTTTCCCAGGTGAGTTAATTCATGGCCTTGTTTTACTAGCTGAACTGCCAGTGCAGCGGGAACAAAGAGTGTCTGACCCGGAAGCTCCCACCAGCCTTCCTTCCTCCTGGTTCCCCCCTTCACTTGAAGCCCATTGTTCTTCTTTAGTGTATTTTGGGGACAGAGGCAGTTTTGGTGCCAGGATAACCTTGGAGATTGGTCTAGGTCCCGCTGTAGCACTTACTTGATGGGCTGCTTGGTCTGCTAGTCAGTTTCCCTTGCTGACAGGGTTGGTTCCTCTCTGGTGACCCTTGAAATGAATGACTGCCACTTTTGAAGGCTTCCGAACTGCCTCTGGCAGTTGCAGAATTTCTTCTTTGTTCTTTATTTCTTTTCCCCTGCCGTCAGTAATCCTCTCTCTTTATAAATGGCCCCATGTATGTGTAAGGTAGTGAGGGCATACCTTGAGTCTGTATAGATAGTAGCCTGTCGCAGTGCCTGGATGAGTGCCCAGAGTTCAGCCTCCTGTGCTGACCCGCC